TTGACCACCTCCCAGGGTTCCTTGTCGCAGGCCTTCCTCAGTTCCACTGTCGAGTTCCCGTGGGAGCGGGGCGTGCATAACAACCAAGTGCCTTATTACATCAAGTTGGTCGTTTTTTTTTTTTTTACATTGCTGTGTACCCCAATTTTCTTCCGATTCTCAAAATCCTTTTTTCTGAAAAAAATTGCATCAATTGAAGTCATGTCTTGAGCCTAATTTTTTTCGTTTTTTTTTTAAGGTTTCAAAATCTATAAATTACATAGTCTTACGAATCCCTCCGGAAAATCTTTAAACGAAACTTCCACCAATTTTAAAAGATCGCTGGCAGTCTGAAAATTTTTGAAGACAGCGTCTTTAGTTGGAGGGTGATATGATGTATTCAATGAGAAAAAAGTGAATTTTTGTCAGATCTGTGCCACGCCGAATTCATAACTTATAAAAATTTCCAAAATGTTTTGGAAGTTTTCGTTTTAGAGGTGTTGGGGATTCGCAATACTGTATTTCGTATTTTAATTTATATTGGATAAACTTCAATTCACCAACGATTTTATCGAATTGGTTTGAGATATTTTGAAGTTCTTGGCATTTTACAAGTTGCTAGACGGTATTCATATCCAGAAAGAAAATATTCCAGCATAATTTTGGGACACCTTTCGGATGATCACTATGATTTTTTCTGTGAAGATTTTGTTTTCAAACCTGCTTTGTTTATGAATTAATTGACGAACTTTGCTGGCAGGAAATTTAACACGCATGCTTTTAAAAAGCCAAGTGATCGATAAGCTGGCTGTGTTGTGAGTAACTAAGTATTTCTTGGATTTTTTCTTGCAGTCACACGACGAAAACTACTCAGTGGGATCATCCACTCATGGCAGATGTGATGGACAAGTTGAGCGNTCATCCACTCATGGCAGATGTGATGGACAAGTTGAGCGACTTAAACCACGTCAAGTATTCCGCTTATCGCACCGCCATGAAATTGCGTTTGATTCAGAAGAAAATTTGTCGTGAGTATTTTTTTCTAGATTTTTTTTTTCATTTTATAAGAATTTCACTGGGGAATTTCCGGGTACAACTGAGCATCTTCTTTGTTATATTCCTGTTACAAAAGGATTTTATCGTCATTATTTCAAGGAAAACTTTTATCATGTATGAATTATTTCTTTCATGAACAGCATTTGGGTTTTGATGTTAGCTTTGTGAAGTGAATTTCGATATCTAAAGAATATATCTCGAAAAGCGCGCTATTTTTACGCGCAGCGTTGGTTGGCGCTCAATTTTCCTTCGTGCTCAGTTGGGCGGCGCTGGTTTGAACGTTAGTGTCTTTAATAATATTGTAAAATTTAAATTTTTAATTCAGTGGATTTGGTGAGTCATTCGACGGTGGTGGAAGCCTGCGACGCCCACGGGCTGCGGGCCCAAAACGACAAGCTCATCACTGTGCCCGAAATGGCGGCCGTATTGCATTCTATGTACCAGCGGGCGGCGGCGGATGCGCCGTCGGAAATGGCGGCCTCTTTTAACCCCGTGCTGAACACGGATCTCTGCATCAACTACCTCCTCAACGTGTATGACAGTGCTAGAAACGGACACATTCGAGTCTTGTCCTTCAAAGTCGGCGTCACGCTCTTGTCCCGCGGACATGTGGATGAGAAGTTCAGATGTGAGTTCTTGTTCTTTTTTTTTTTGGCTCATTTTATTCTGAGTGAGGCACGGTCCGAATCCATTTGAAACTAGCCTGCGATTTGTTATTTATGGTGAATATTCTATTTATTCATGGGACATGTGAGTAACTTCAATTCTTTCAAGTGATCAAGTAGTTTTGACCTATCAAATAAAAATTATAAGGAATCACAGAAATGTGAGAAATGATCCTTTTGAATATTTCATCTCTTTATTAATTTTCGAGTTGATGAAATTTTTTTTTTATATTTTCTGTGTAGATTTGTTACCACTCCTTGCAGATCAGACTAGACAAGTTGACCAGAGAAAATTTGCGTTTGGCAAAAACAAACCATTTTTATAGCTATTTGAGTTATTCGTGGAATTCAAGTGTAGAGCCCCTGTTGAAACAGTTTTGAACAATGAAATCAAAATTCGGAGGACCATTTCAATTTACTTCGGTTGAAATCTCAAATTAAATGACATTTCTTGAGAGAGATGATCATATGAATTCTCGAGTTGATGGACAAATAATTTTGTAAATTTTTGTATCTGTCCAGATTTATTCCGACTCATCGCGGATCCGACTCGACAAGTTGACCAGAGAAAACTTGGGTTGCTGTTGCACGACTGCTTGGAAATTCCGAAAATGCTTGGAGAAGCTGCTGCTTTTGGCGGAGCGGATGTTGAACCCGCAGTACGTTCTTGCTTTTCGGTGCATGTGCCCAAGTCGAGGCTGCTTTCTGGGGCAGCCTCAGCTGCCACCTTGCCCCCGGGACACACTGGGTCTCTTCCTGGCCACGGCTCCACTGCATTACAGGTGAGACTTCATGCTTTTGAACGATGCGTGGGAACCTCTTATGTCTCTCAGTTCAACCTCTTTATGTCGAACTCCAAAAGGGGACCCACGAATACATTTTCAAATTTTGGACTGTTTGAGCGAGGAGAACTAGTATTTTTCACGAGAAAAAAAAATACGGAAATGCGAGAAGTTGAATGTGCAGATCTTTTGAGCCTCAAACGGCGTTTTAAAAAAAAAAAGTTGACAGGATGCTGAACGTGGCGGCAAAGGTTCGTTTGCTGAATTATAAGTCACCCACTGCCTTTTGAAAAAGAATAGTCACATTTTTATTTATTTTTTTTCCAGTGTCCAGTCTAACAAAATACTCCAGTAATTCCGGTTTTTAAAGTATGAGGTCGAAATGGGAAAGTATTCAGGGTGAGGAGATACAATACATTGTTCTTGAAGGAACTCAGACGAGGACTAAACAAAAGTTTGAAGTATGGATATTTTTCACCCAAGAAGGTTTGAGTCATTGTGGTCTTTTTGTGTGTATTCTTGGCGTCCATCGGGTTGTTGAGCAGTGGTGAAAAATGTTCGTGTGCCAAAAACCACATCAGTTCTTCCTTGTCGATTGGGGTGACGAATTTTTTCCAACGTGTGTAGATGTCACTGGCAGTCCGGATAAGATTTCATTGTTTCTCTGATTCATTTGACAGTTCCTTCTTGTCCTTCTGGATTCCACCAGTGAATTTGAAATTATCGTTATTTTCAACTTGACTTCTTGTGCAATGATGATCCGTTTTGGTTGATTTGATTTTTTTTTATTTTACGTATAGGCAAGGGACACAATAGAAATCGCTCACTTCTTGACATGGGTGAAGCAAGAGCCGCAAACTTTGGTATGGGTCCCTGTGCTCCACAGACTGGCGGCTTCGGAGACGGCGAAACATCAAACCAAGTGCAACGTGTGTCGAGAATATCCGATCGTTGGTTTCAGGTACGAGATTACTTCAGCTTTTTTTTCGTGTCAAAATTATTTTTGCGATTAATGTCTTTCTCCAAAAGCCTCTTTACCGTACAGTACCTGATTTATCAGCAGTCCTCCTGAGATTTATTTTGCAGTGCAAGGATTTTTTTCTCGGGTGGCTCTTTAAAAATTGCAGAGTGGTACATGTCGAGTAAAAATCAGAGATATAAAACCATACTTGTACACGGAATGTTTCTGTATATTTTTAGAATGTAAACAGCACCAGCTGGTAAAGGGATGAGATCGATTTATAATACAGTATAAGCGTGGAGGTTTTGGACGTATTATTGAACTATTGAGACGCCCCTCAGCTGACTCTAGTTACTTTGAGGACGTTATTTTAGCACATTATTAAACTCTCACACCTTGGAAAAAATTAAAGAAATGTTGAATGAATAAATATTTTACGATGTCTTCATTATATGCAGATATCGGTGCTTGAAGTGCTTCAAGTTTGACATGTGTCAAACCTGTTTTTTCTCTGGTCGGTCATCAAAGCACCACAAATCTTCGCATCCGATGCAGGAATATTGCACAGCAGTGAGTGTATTTTGAAGATTACTGTGCAGTATTTTGAAATGCTCGTTTCGATTGTTTCGCTTGGAAATATTTTATTGCTGTGATTATTTTTTATGTTCAAATCAAGAACCATTTTAAGACTTACCGCAGAAATGTGGGAGATAGAAATTTCCAGTCTTCTGTATGTTCGTGAGCCTTTTGCCTTGATGACCTCTCTTTTCTTTCGGAAAGGTGTCGCCTGAATCATTAACTTTGCTCAAGTTGACCTAAACTGAACCGGAGTTCTTGTGTTAGGAAGTAAGATGACCTAGCTTTTATTCAGGAAAACAAACAACGTTCAGGCGACACCTGTGTAATGGCTGAGGAAATTAAAAAATGGGGGGGGTTTAAAGTGATTCAAACGAAATCCAGTTTTTTTTTTAAGTCGTGATTTTTTTTATTTCAAATGATTTCAATGGTTTTTTCTGTGTCTTTTTTTTCCAACGCAGACAACTTCGGGAGAAGACGTTAGAGATTTTACGCGAACATTGAGGAATAAGTTCAAGTCGAAGAGATACTTCCGGAAACACCCACGGATGGGTTACCTTCCTGTGCAATTGGGCGCCGATGGGAAGCCGCCGTCGGGCGCCACAACACCGGCGACTTCCCGCGGCGGCGGAGCCAATTCATCTCTAGGTACATTTTTTCACCAATACTAAATTCAAATGAAAAAATAATACTGTAATTTGCAACCATTCGACGGAAATTTGTATGTGGTGAAATATTTCGAGTGACGAGGAAATGGTACACTCTCGTACGTTGATCTTTGTCCTCAGTTTATCTTCTGAAAATTTTCTTACTAAATCAAAATTAAGTTCGGGGAGGAAAGTCTTCTGTTCCCCTTGAAGCGATTATTATTTGCTTATGTTCTTGTCCAAAAATGACAGACTGGAAAGCGAGGAAAATTTATACTGTAGTGCAATTCAAAAATATTTTGAGGATGGATTCCTGCTCCGAAAAACGGTTGTCCGAATCATTGTCAAACTTCTGATTGGGAAATGAAGCCAATTGGGTTCTCGAAAGTTTTTTATGCATGCCATTTTCAAAATGGCAGCCAAGGATACTACAGCACTGGATTTTTTTTTCTCGATGAAGTGCTGCATTTTATGCATGAAGTGACTCATGTATTTATTCTTTCTTTTTTTTCACTTCCAACGCAGGCCATTCCATGCATATGCACGGCTCATCGTCGGCGGCGGAGAGCAGTGGCGGCAGTCGAGACGCGTCCCCACTGGCGTCCCCGAGGGCCATTCACAGCGCCGGCGCCAGTGTGACTGGCAGCAGTAACCAGAGCCCTGCGACACCCCTGCCACCTGCTGAAGTTCACTCCAGGCTAGAACTGTATGCGTCTCGTCTGGCAGAGGTTGAACTCCGTTCTCATGCATCGCCTGTCACTGATTCGTGAGTCAAATTTTGAAACTGGGCTTTCTTCTTCCTCTTCCGTGTTTCAATTATATTTTTTTGTGCGTAATTTTTAATTTTTGCGTTACTGCATTTTAACAGAGAGAGAGACTGGGAACCACCAAGAAGAAAAAGGTTTTCCATCAGTGAAGTACTGTACAATATAGTATTATACCTGATGAGTAGATTCCTTCGCAGTTTGTGCTTTTATTTTCGAATTAATTTTTTAGTTTGTATTTTCGAAATATTGCAGTTCTAGAGTCACTAAGACACGGGGATAGGGTTTTATCAAAATTTCCGAATGAAAAAAAAAGTTAAAAAAAAAAAAAAACCCTGTGCATGTACATTACTCTGACGGAGGGCGCGTAGTATGTAAGTAAATACTGTACGGTTATTAGTGTTCTGTGACATGTCGCCTGAATCTTTTTTTCTCTTTTTAGGTATTATGTGGGTTCTATTCGTATCAAGGGCATTGGTTTAGGTTGGTTTTGGAAGACCGGAGCGAGGCTGTGTTCTGTAGTTCCGAATTTTCTGGGGATTTCTGGAAAGGTATTCAGGCGACACCTGTCCATCATTCTAGAAAGCCTGGTCGCATCATCGTGCTGTCTTGAACGTTGAACGGGTGTCGTTTGAATCTCTAGCATAATGCGATGTACAGTAACGACTTCTAATCACATATCTCTTATGCTAGCTGGAAATGAGCAGAAACTAGGAATATAGGAATATTCAGACGACACACCTACGTATTTGTTAGCAAACTTCATCGCGGAGTTGGGCTTTCAAATGAAGAGAGTAAAGCTCGTGTTTCAGGGTTTCTGGACATCTTTCCCCGCTGCGGGTGTGATGATGATGATTTTAGTTCAGATTACGTTGTGTAGTTTTACAATGATGATTCATCCTCCTGAATTCTGTAATCTGTTGCAGGGAAGACGAACACGCGCTGATTTCTAGATACTGTCAGTCATTGGGCCACTTGCGGAGGGAAGACGTGGGCGCAGAAAATGGTCGAGCAGGATTGTCGCTGTCCGGCCTGACGGATGGAAATCAAGGCAGAATCAATCATTTGCCGCCATCTGGCGGCGGTAGAAGTCGGAATAACAGCAACAATCCCGAGCAGCAGATGAACAACCGAAATTTGCGACAGCAGATTCAGGACATTCCGTCGCCAACCGAGGTGCTAACTGCGCTGGAATCTACTCATCAGGTATAATATTGTACATTACTGATGGAAATTCATCAATGATTTTTGTTTTCAATGGAAAGAGAGATTTTTCTTGTAACATTTGAAAATTTTGTGTGATCACTCCTCAGATGAAACTCGATGTTGATTTTTCTGACCTGCAACCTTTCAGTGAACATGAATTTGTTTGTATCTCACAGCATGCTGAGATTAACAATAATAAATGAATCAAAGTGAGTCCATTCAGAAGATTAGTGAATAGTTCAAGGATAGAGTTTGAAGCCTTGTTTGAGATTCTGATTAAATCCTTTTGTGCTGTTGTAACGCTTCTGAGACTTCACTGAAAATACGCCTCATCAATATACAGTACTGTACATCGAAAAATGCATGAGTAAATGAAAATATTGTATTAACGCATTCCCTTCAAGTAATACTCGCGCCAGAGGCTTATCAGTCAAAATGTTGATGTAATTGTATCCCAAATTAAGACGCCCCACATTTTAGCCACACTAAAACTGCAGTATTCGAAAAATGAGATCTACCATATTTTAATTTAGAATAGAATTGAACCTTAATTCCCTCTAATAATCAATTGCTGTCATTGCAGTAAGTTTTTCTGTTGACATTGGTCAAACATTTCCCATTAGAATCAAA